GAAATATTTTATCTCCTTCACTCATTCCCGAAGCCTACCTGCAATTCCAGTTTCTCTAAAGACCCTACTTACCTTTATTCTTCACCTCTTCGATCTCAGACTATCTCACTCTACCTTAAAGGTTTATATTCCAGCTGTTGCAGCCCATCAGCCCTCTCATTCTGAATCAGCAAGACGTTTCTCACACCCAACCCTAAAACAATTCCTCAAAGGACTCCAAAATATTCGACCTCTAAGACAGCAACCTCCGCCTCAGTGGTCTTTACAATTGGTCCTCAATACCCTTACTAGACCACCTTTCGAACCAATGGCCACCTGTAATCTTAAGCTACTTTCTTTAAAGACATCGTTCCTTGTTGCAGTAACATCTGCCAAATGTGCCAGTGAATTAGCAGCCCTCAGGTCAGATCCACCTTATCTCCAGTTCTATACAGACAAGGTCACCCTCTATTTTGATGTCTCATTTTTATCCAAAATTGTCTCTGATTTTCATCTTAATCAACAATTGATTTTGCCAGCTCTGTTTCCTTCTCCTTCTACACCCATCGAGTGCATGCTCCACATGCTGGATGTCCAAAGGTCTCTGGCTTTCTATATTGATAGAACAAAGATATTCAGGAAGTCTCCAAGGCTCTTCCTATGCTTTCAAGTCCCCCACAAGGGTGCTCCAGCATCATCTCAAACCATCTCTCACTGGATTGTTCAAACAATTTCATTGGCTTATGAGCTTCAGACAAGATATCTCCTGAACACTTAAAGGCTCACTCCACCAAAGCACTGTTAACCTCCACTGTTCTCCACTGTGGAATAGAATTCCCACACATCTGCTGTGCAGCTACTTGGTCTAACTCTTCGACCTTTGTAAGGCATTATCCTTGATGTCTGGGCAAAAAATGATGCTGCCTTTGGCAGGGCAGTCTTGACATCTCTTCTACCTTGACGTCCCACCATCCGGTTAGTGACCTTGTCAATCACCCATTTGTGTGCATTCACAAAGGCCATGAAGAAGAGAGGTTACCTGCCTGTAACCATGGTTCTTCTAGTGGTCCTCTGTGAATCCACATATCCAACCCTTCCTCCCCTCTGTCCGTCACGTTTTTTAATACAGTACCTTGACAGCGGCGGACTCTTAGAGGAACTGTCCTGATGGGAGGGTGGAGCATGCGCTCCATAGGGGAACGTCTCATTATGACGTTTTTAAGCTCTAGAAACGTCCAATATGTCCTGCACAGGCACAGAACAACCCATTTGTATGGATTAACAGAGGACCACTAGAAGAACCATGGTTACAGGTAGGTAACCCCTCTCTTTACAGGTAGGTAACCCCTCTCTCTCTGCCACATTCTGTATTTTAATCTATCCTTTACTCCTTTCCAAATCCCCTTACCTACAATCTTCCCTGACCCTATTTATTTATTTATTTATTTATTTATTTATTTATTTATTTAT